GTTATTTCCCACAAATATAAAATAATGATCCCAAGATTTTGGTTTATAATTCAAAGTGCCTGTAATCCTGTACTAAAAAACAACATAAATTTGGAATAAAGATATAAGATCAAAGGAAATGTAGTAAAATATCAAAAGTAATGATACAGTTCTAAATGCAGACAAATGTTTAGTAATTTGACATTTGTATTCTTTATAAAAAGGCAGAAATAATGTTATTTTTCTATTGTCTTGGTTGAAAGGGGTTAATTTTCATAAGCAACTCAACAGTGGTAAAATACAGAAGATAAAAAACCAGATGGTAAAATTGAGGAAGAATATAATAAGAAAAAAAGGTAGAGATGCAAATATTTACATATTCCATCCAGAAACCTTGATTGAGCTATGTGGGTTTTTTTGTTTGATCGTGTTTTCTATGGCTTATAAATGAGGCTTGTATTACTAACCTAGTCAAATTACATGGGCAGCCCTATCTTGAGTCCTGTCAAAGTCCCTAGCAAGGATGCCATCACAACCAAATGACATGATTAGAGCCATGGCTGCATTGGCAAGTGCACCCCAGTGGCATACTCTGGGCAATCTTAGTGTTCATTGATGATGAAGAGGGAGCAGTCACAGGGGCAGGCTCTACATGCATCAACACCCTGCAGTTCTCTTATGAGATCTGCCTGGAGAGATTCTGCCTGGACAAGGCCACAATCCAAGCCCTGGTAGACCAGGAGCCTACTCCCTGGTCCATCGCCATGCCGCAAAAGAGGCTCCTGTCCCTCAGGTACCTCGTTATGGCATCATTCAAGACAGCTGTGGCTAAGGTTCTACAGGTGTCCCAACCCTTGTTAAGCTGGTGCCTCCACAACTTTCTGGTTGCCATGCTGCAGCAATAGCACTTCCCTACAGAGGATGCCAAGCTGACCCACATCCATACAGGATTCACCATGTATGCAGAGTCCCTCAACATCCTCAGTGCCATGGACTACATCTACATTGCCTATTTCCCCCTGCAGGCATACTGAGCTGCAGGTGTACTGCAACTGCCACCACTTCTACAGCCTGAAGATATGGATCACTTGTGACCACCAGGGTATCTTAACAAACCTTGGGGTCAAGTTCCAGGGCAGCATGCATGATGCCCAGATCTCTGCAGTATTCAGCCTGAAACCATCTGCTGGCTACCAGGTTGGAGGGCAGGGGCTGGCTTCTGGGTACCAACACCAAGGGCTGGTGAAGGGGCGTTGGGCATGGGTGAGTGACAGGAGTGAACTGACTTCTGTTCCTCCCAG